ACACACACACACACACACACACACACACACACACACACACACACACAAACACACATACGAAGGCGAACACTCAAATAAAATAAATAAATCTTAAAAGGAAGAAAATCCCAGGTCCCCAACTGGCTCTTACGTTTGTGACTCCACTCCGGTTGCGGGCCACTGTCTGAGATTTCAGTGTGGTCTGCTCCACCCGCTTCCGCAGGGTCTCAAACTCATTCTGCGGGTCCAGGATGAGAAGGCAGGGGTACTCAGTGGCTCTTTGGAAGAAGGATATATCTGGGCACAGCCTCCTATTGGAATGGAAAGAATGTTATCGTTCAGGTGCAGGGTCCAGCTAGGCAGCCCCAGCATCCTAAGTGCTTGGTTTATTTTCTTTTATCACTGAGCAACCCCTGAGCCTGCCTGCCTGCCTGTAACTGTAATATCTCAGCTGGGTATGGTGGCTCACACCTGTAATCAAGTCCTTGGGAGGCCTAAGGCGGAAGGATTGCCCTAAGTTCAAGGACAGTTTCAGCTACAAAGTAAGCTCCAGACCAGCCTTAATCTAACGTGAGACCTTAAGTCAAAACTAAAATAAGGCTGGAGCGAGAGCTCAGCAGTTAAGAGCACTGACTGTTCTTCTAGAGGTCCTAAGCAACCACATGGTGGCTTATAACCGTCTGTAAGGGAATCCGGTTTTCTCTTCTGGTGTGCATGAAGACAGAGCACTCATATAAAAAAAAAAAAATGAATTTAAATCTTTTAGAAAAAACTAAAATAATATTTTATCCCAAAAACCAGTTTTTAAAAAGTCAGTAGGAATTACATATACATGCTCATTTCATATGTGTCTGTGAAGAGGAACACATGTAAATATTTTAAGTGTTTTTGTGGTCATACAGCCTAATTCTCATAAACCACAAACAGCTTTCCATGACAGAAACATCTGTCCAGGACTAAGAATAAGCGTGGTGGCAGAACACTTGCCTAGCACGCACTGTATACAAGTATGCCTCATATTTATCCGGATTCAAGCCCTGAGTTCTATCCCCAGCAAAAACATTGTATCTATTTATATGCATCTGTCTATGGATGCATGTATACGGACAAGGATTAACCATGGTCATTTGCCACAGGAAAACTTTGGTTTGGCAAGATGTGCAAGAACAGCAGGGGGGGTGCTCATCTGGAACATGACAGGGCATGGCACTCACGCATACTTCTCAGACCTCCTAGGCACAGCACACTACACACTGGCCCTCTGCAAACACTGATAAGCCAGTGCCATCACCAACGAGAGACAGACCTGGGCCCTTAGTCCCTCCTCAAAACTACTACAAGATGAGGCTCTTGACCTAAACCTGGCCACTACAGCACCTCACGGGTAGGGCTACTCCAATGCCGATCTTAGAAGATAGGCGGCAAGAGCCTTCAGGCATCCAGAGGCTATCTGGAAAGGGATCTGGGCAGAGAAGCAGCACTCTGGGGAAGGATCTTCCTGCAGACTTTATCCCGAGCCTCAGGGCACTCCTGTACCAGTTCCTTAGGGTAGGAAGCTCTTCCACAGAGCCCAGGGCCTCCCATCTTCCTCTCACTTGGCGTCTCATGCTGAGTCACCCCTCTAAAATGAGGGCCTCACTCTCTCAGAACACCAGCTTTTCTTCCCTCACAGCACTGGCAACCTTTGCAACCTTTTACGTTTGCCAGGTTGAGTCTCCTACTCCTGTCCAGTCTTCCTCACATGGATGCAGCTGGCCTGTGCTACTGCAGGCAGAGTTGGGGCCCAGAGCAATTCCTTGGGGATGCCACTGAGTCGCTCTGCATGATTTTTCTGTCCAAACAAGGAGTGGGTACCAGAGAAGACTCAGGCATGCTGCTCCAAGTGGAGGGAGATCAGCTCCCAGGGCCCTTCTTCAAAGGCAACTTGTTATTTCAAAGGCCTTTGTAGTATGCCAAAGCCAGCACAATATTCCCAGTTACCTGTGAACACCCATACTGCACATGCCCTTAACCTGAGCCATCTTACTTCTACTCCCAGATAAGTCATGATCAGAGGGCCTCAGTCACCTGCACATCAGATAGTCAACTGGTGAAGCTGTACCTGAAACCATTCAAATAGGCTCCTGTGCTCTTTGGCACTCCACTGCAGTACAAACCCCACTGAGGGCAGCAGAAGGACCCTGTGGGCCTCTTACCGGACATCTTTGTCAATCTGCAGCAGCACCTCGTTGTCCTTAAAATACGTGTTCCACCTGCTGTCAGGGTTTGGGTTGAGGGGCTGTGAAGAGAGAAGTAGATGCTGTGTCCAAGAACCAGCCAGGGCTGCAGCTCTGTGGCCTCACACCAAGTGCCCACAGACTTGGCTCTGGCCAAGAGACAGGTTCAGTCCACCCAGAAGGCGTAGCAAGCACAGGCTTCCCAACGTATCCCAGGTACTGTAGAGACACTCCCACACCACACAGCCAGCCGTGAGCCCTGCAGCACGTGCTGTATGGCAGGCAGTGTTCTTGGCAGTGCCCCAGCTGCAAGTGTGCACGCAGCACTCACTCACTGAGCGCACTGAGAGAGTGATGAACAGATGAACACACCTCATTATCTACCAGTGCTTTGGGTGGTCAATGCAAACTTGGGGGTGGGTCTGAGACCAGCCCAGCTCTGCTCCCTGCCCTGTGAGGTATACATGAAGCAGCTCGGTATAGGACGAGTACACAGGACTTTCTGCAGGCCTCAGTCAGGCACTTCATCGGTCAGCTTTTCCTTCGCCTATACAACCTTCCTCATGGACCAGGATGAGGAGCGCTCCGGCGTTCAGTGGCAGAATGATTGCCTGCCACGCCTGAGATCCCCAGCTCATTCTCCAAGGTCATAAAAAGGCAAACAAATGAACATTTAGCCAGGGGAAATGCTGGACCTTTGGAGGCTGAAGCAGGAAAACTGAAGTCTGAAAGAAGCCAGGGCTACATGGCAAGATCTAGCCTCAAACAAACAAACAAACGAACAAAAAATTCCATGTGGGGCCTGAAAGATGGCTCAGTGGCTAACAATGCTCGCTGCACAAGCATAAAGACCAAAGTTTAGTCCCCAAGACCCACGGGGGAAGGCAGAAACTGACTCCAAGTTGTCCACTCACATCCATGTATGTACCATGACAGATATGCTCACTGGCACCCATGCACATACTAACAGTGAATTAAAATTTTTTATTTTAAGTTCAGGCTCACTCTTGGATATAAATTGAGTTCCAGAGCCAAAGTGAGTTCCAGCATGGAACATGTACTACTCTTAACAAAGGACCTCAGCTCCCAGCATTACATGGCAGCTCATAACCATCGGTGACTCCAGTTCCGGGGGATCTGACACCTTCTTCTGACCAAGCGTACACATGGCGCACATACACACATAAAATAAATGAAGCTAAAAGTTTTTAAAAGAATGTTTTATTTATTTTATTTTAAAATGGTGGGGGGCTGGAGAAGTAGCTCAGCAGTTAAGAGCACTGACTGCTCTTCTAGAAGACCCAGGTTCAATTCCCAGCACCCACATGGTAGCTCAAGGGATCTGACACCCTCACACAGATATACATGCAGGCGAAACACCAATGTACATAATAAATAAACAAACAAACAAACAAATAAATAACAAAACAAAGGTCCAGAATTTCCCCTTGACTAAATGAGCTGGGCTGTGACACATGCCTTTAATCCTAGCACTTGGGAGGCAGAGACAAGTGGATATCTGAGTTTTGAAGTCAACCTAGTCTACAGAGCAAGTTTCAGGACAGCCAAAGCTACATACACAGAAAAAGCAAACAGCCAATAAGTACATAAGTTAATAAATGAACTGGTGAAGGTTCCAGAGACTGTGCCCTAGAAGTTCCGAATGCAGGGTGACTCCCTCAGCACCCTCAGGATGATGGTTATTGCTTAGGTTGCTAACTAGGCCTAGGGCTCCTGAGCTTACTGTGTGCTAGAATAAGCAGGGCAAGGAGACATCATTGTTTCCAAGGGTCGGGCAGCCTGATGCAGAAGGGAGGACTTGAGAGGCTACACACGTCCTCTAGCCAGGCGCTTTGCTGGACCGAGGCTCACCACCTCCCATGTGCGCTCTCAGCCCATGATGTCAACCCTACTTACATGGTCCTCGAAGGTCACATCCTCCCTGGATACACCCATGTTGGCCTTGGCAATGCCAGGCTGGATAATCATCTCTCTCAGGAACTGAGAATAGAGGCCCCTGCAGGAGAGAAGAGCAGAAAAGAGAAGGATGATTCCAGAGATCCCACCCAGAGGTGCACCCACAGAAGGCAAGACAGGCTCCCTGGGAGGTGAAAGCCCTCTAGTCATCCATTGTTCACAGGTCTCACCTCTGCTTGGCCAGGATGGAAGTCCATGAGGCTCTCTCCAAAGGGAGGTAGTTCAGGAGGATCTACACAGAGGAGAACACAGCTCTGGCAACATCCCCATCCTGGATAGTGGCCTCCCTCCTCCTAGCCCAGCTCAGCCCCTTCCTCTGCTTCCCCACGCTGTTCTACATGTGGCAAGAGCTTGGCATTGAAGGGCTGGTAAACAGGAACAGAGGCTGCCACCACCCTCAGCCAGTGGCTTCAGGAGGACTTAGCCTCTGCTCTGTCCCAGTCAGCATCACTTCCACTCTGAACATACACCAGGAAGTGGAAATCTTTGCTGGCATTCCCCAAAGAAATTCTGGAGGGGAAGTCAAGACAACATAAAACCCCACAACTTCCAGAAAGACTTCTTTAGACAAGCCAGGAAAGGAGCAGAGTAGAGGGGACAGAACCAGGTCCATGCAAGACCCACAAGTACTCAGAAGCAGGAAGCGGCACCCCAGGCACACCCACCTTCCAGCAGAGGCACCGCAGTCCGCCCTCACAGGGGATGCCTGTGGACACAGCAGGCAAAGGTCACACCAAGCCAGAGCTTCACAATCCCCCAACCCTAGACACTGGAGCCAGTTGGCAGGGAGTGGAGTAGGCAGGAAGCACTTCAGGAACCATCCTCCACCAAAGGAATGGCTAAGCTGGATGCTAACTCTAATTTCTATCTACAGCCCTGTCCCCCAGCCCAGAACCTCATATGTCTGCTATATACTTTAAACCTTCTCATCTTTGATAATTCTTCTTCACAGGAGCCACTGTCAACTCCGAACTCTATTCAAAGTCAGGCTCTTCTTTCAGGGGAGGGAGAAGAGTCTCATACAGCCTGGGCTGGCCTCAAATTTACTATGGAAATAGGGAGAAACTCCTGCCTCAACCTCCTGAGTGGTAGGATTATAGGTGTGTTTGGCCACCATGTCTAGTTTACGGGGTGCTGAAAATCAAAAGTGGGGCACTGTTCATGCTGGCCAAGCACTCTAAAAACTGAACTATATGCCCAGCTGCGGGCTCTCTAATTTTTTTTTTTTCCTTTTTTTCCTCAAGACAGGGTTGACTGTCCTGAACTCTCTTTGTAGATCAGGCTGGCCTCAAACTCATGGAGATCCACCTGCCTGTGCCTTCCTAGGAGTCCTAGGATCATAGTCATGCACCACCACACCTGGCTTCTTTTCTTATTTTATTTTATTTTTGGAATCAGGGTCTCACTATGTAGTCCAGGCTGTGCTGGAACTCACTCTGTAGACTAGGCTGACCTTGAACTCCCAGAGATCCACCTGCCTCTGCCTCCGGCTCTGGGATTATAGGTGGGAACCACTATGCCAGGCATCAGCGTCTCTGCTCATACACAATAACGCTGAAGCTTCTCTAAAACCCATCAAACTGGGATCATATAAAAACTTTAGTATGAACTTAATGTGTAACTCCTACAAATGGACAGGCCTCAGACAGATAAGAGCATGTTTGTTTGTTGACGCTCCTAGGTCTGGCACAGGATACAGAATACAAATGGCATTCCACGTTTGCGAAATTCAAACCAAACTGTCAGGTTAAGAGCTCTGTGCCAGACAACTTCTCGATAAAAAAACGTATCTGTAGATAGAGCAGCCAAGGGTTAGGACACAGGTGTAGTGTGCAGCCCAAGCTCTGCACCACCACACACAGCCTCCCCTCTGGGACCTCTACACCACCCCAGAGCGAGAAGGCCAACTTCTGCAGTGTTGTCAGGAGCTCACAAAACCATGAGCCATGCCCCCACCTCAGAATCTGCATGACCCTGGCAACTTAAACTCCTTCCTTGTAAAGTTACCAGGTGGAGCACTACACCGAGGAGTTACACAAACACGCTGTGATGTTTTCACAGACAGGTTAAAAATCCAGCTATCTCTGCACTGGAACATTAACTATGAGGAAGGGCAAAGTCAAAGATGGCCGATGTTCAGCTCCTTAAGTTGGTGTTCTAAGGCTTGAGTTTTAGCATTAACCAAAGGTCACACTCTCAGCTCCGATCCAAAGCCAGGTAGAGAAACTGGAAACCACCCTGTAACTTCCTAACTCAGGAAACTACCTGAAATGACAGATGGCCTCACTTACACTCAAAAGATTACCACCATTTCAACCTTCAGGCCACGTCAGGGAATTTGGGGAAGCATGTGCCTCCCTGTCTAAGGCCAAAGGGCAGTAACCACTCCGATGACATATAGACAGCTTTATGCAATCAGTCAGGTTTCCAGGGAAACCCTGAGTAAAATTTGTCTTACCACTAAAACTGAGTTCTCGAAGTTTTTCCAACACAATGGAGGGCTCCTTCAGGACATTCTGGAAATCTGCAATCCTTCAAGAGCAGAAAAGAAAACCCCAAGGTTGACAGGCTTGCAGCCCATGGATCCCTTACCCCAACAGTCTCCAACAGCCAGCTTAGGGAAGTGGGCAATACAAGTTCTTCCTCTAAAATCTAAAATGCCAAGGAAGTGGCATTTGACTAGAACACCAATGCGAGGCGTTCTAGTCAAAAAGGTTTGAAATAAGAACTCAGCATTAAGCACCTTCTACTGTTAGTGCGCTGGCATTTCCTGGGTACTTCTGCGGCCAAGCCCAGCCCACAGCACACCGCTAACCTGAATTCACACAACCAGCTTCGCGGTAAACCCACAAGACAACGGACTTGTACAATCTCCCCACTACTCCCTCAGTTCTTTGCTGAGAAAGGGGGAGGGCAGCAGACTTCTCGGGCCTGCCCTCAAGCAAAGACAAAAGACCAAAAATTAGTCCTGGAGTGATCAAAATTTAGCCGACGCTGCAAGATATACCCTGGTTTGGGGCGGGAGTGGGGGACGGTCAAAGACCAGACTGGAGAATCCGGGTTCTCTAATGTTTCTCATGAGCAAGGAGCACAGAGACAGGAACATCTGGGGGGCGGGGAGGGGGGGGAAAGGATCCTGGAGCCAGGAAGCGGGGAGGGTAATTGAGGGCTGGAATGGGAGACACCAGGGAAAGGGGTCCAGAGTGAGAAAGAGAGAGAGAAAGGTGACACCAAGGTAAGAGAAGCATCTCTGCTTCTTCCCTCTGCCACACAGGCAATGAGATCGTAAAGTGGGCGCTGGGGGCCCACCGCCGGGCACGGGGGTGCTATTCTTGGCCGCACAGGCTCTAAGCAGCTCTGTCGGTGAGAAGGCGCGGCCCGGCAGGAGTAGCTGGGTGCAGTCCTGCCCGCGAGTCTCCTTACCGGCTCTGGTGCAGACTCGACATGATGTTGACTTCCGGACCCCCGGGCTGCTTCTGCAGCCCCAGCTGCCGCCACCGCCCCCTCCCTCTGGGGACACGGGGCGCTGGACAAAAGCTTCCGGTGGGAAGCAAGACCACGCGCCTGCACGTTCCGCGGGAACCCAGCTGCGCTGGTTCCGCCCAGGGATCACGTGACACGGGGCTTCCTTAAGGCCAGGCAAAACCCTGCGCTGAGCGTCAGGACGGCCCGTGACCCTGCTGGCTGTGAGTTTCCCGACCTCAGTTTCTGTCTACGCAGTACACTTGTCGATTTCTCTCCCTCCCTGGCCATACTGCGGCGCAGTTGTTTGGTGAGCTAGATCCAGTCCTTGGGTGGTCTTGTTCAATAGTGAGTCCTTATGGCAATGATCGTGTGGTTCAGTAAATAGGGTTTGGAGGAGCTGGAATACAGCTCGGTGTTTCCTTGACTTTGGGAGTTGAATTTCTGGCAAGCCGGGCGGTGGTGGCCCACGCCTTTGATCTCAGCACTCCGGGAGGCAGAGTCACGCAGCTTTCTTAGTTATCTGAGTTTGAGGCCAGCCTAGTCTACAGAGCGAGTTCCAGGACAGCCAGAGAAACCCTGTTGCAAACTCCACCACCACCACCAAAAAAGGCCAGTACAATTTCTGTAATCTCGCAATTTTAAAGCAATACAAAAGAAAAAAAGCAGGCGCTGAGGGTGTGGCTCAGTTGGTAAAGTGCTTGCCTAGCATGCACGAAGCCAGGGGCCGAGCACCGCTCGTAGTTGGATTTGGTGATGCATGCCAGTAATTCCAGCATGTGAGAAGCGGAGGCAGGAAGATCAGAAGTTCAAGGTCATCTTCTGCTAGAAGTGAGTTCGATGTTGATGCTTCCGGGAATAAAGTGCTTGCAGGCAACAGCACTGGGGTTTGGATCCACAGAACTCATGAAAGAGCTGACAAGAGAGGCAGGGATGTGCAAGGTGGAGCTGGCCAACTGGCTCCCGAGACTAGCCTCAAGGAATAAAGTGGAGAGCGTTCACTGACAACTGACCCGTAGGTGAGGGCTCCCCACACATGCTTCTACACATATTTGCACACACGTGCACACAAATTTTTAAAAACAAATTACATACATGAATGCTTTGTATGTATGTATATCTGTGTATCACTTACCTGTGCGGAGGTCAGAAGAGGGTGTTGGATCCCCAGGAACTGAAATTGTAGACAGTTGTGAACCTCATTCCGGCCAGCTGTAAGAACAGCCAGAGCTCTTAACTGCTAAGTTCTCTCTCCAGCCCCTCACGCAATATATATATATATATATATATATATATATATATATTTTTTTTTTTTTTTATGAAAGTTAAGAGAACTGGTCACGATGATGCACACCTTTAATCTCAGCACTAAGGAGGCAGAGGCAGGAAGGTCTCTGTGAGTTCAAGGCCAGCCTGGCCTACAAAGGGATTCTAGGACAGCCAAGGCTACTCAGAGAAACCCTGTCTCAGGAAACAAGATGTCAGAAATCCTTTTCAAGTTTTCCTACACATACATTTATATATTTGTAATTATACTTAGCTCTTAATTTTTTTCCAACCACCAACGAAGACTTTAATGTTAGACAACATAACTTCTCGACTCCTCCTGGTTTCATGTTCCTGGCCACCAAGATTTCACTGGCCAGTAAAGCAGCTGCACACTTTGCTAGTCCAAAGTCCCAAAGTCTCCCATATTCCTCCAAAAAAACATGGTCAGGGTTATCACAGCAACACCCCGATCCTGGTACCAACTTAGTTCCTTCTCTCTTGCTGTGACAAAACACCACGATCAAGACATAGAGGGGGAGAAAATGGCTAATTTGGAATTATTGTTCCAAAGGGATAATAGACCATCACCTTCATGTCAGGCAGGCCCTGGAAGCAGGAGCAGCAAGCTCAGAGCTTACATGTTGAGCTACAGCACAAAGAGAGATAGCCAAGCTGGAGAGTTGGCTCAGCTTAACTACTGAGTGCTTGTCACAGCCTGGTGTGGTGGCACATGCCTGTAATCCCAGCACTCTGTGAGTTTCAAGCCAGCCTGGTCTACAAAGTGAATCCAGGACAGCCAAGGCTACACAGAGAAACAAAAAAAAAAAAAAAAAAAAAGCACATGTTGCTCTTGCACAAGACCTGAGTTCAGTTCCTGTGCACCTACATACACTCATATACACAAAACAATAAAATGAATGAATGAGGGAGCACAAACTAGGAGCGGCTGGACTGTTTAAACCCTCTGTGCCCCTGGACCTACTTCCGCCAGCAGTGCCACACCTCCTAAGCCTCCCCAAAGAGCACCAGGGACTGGAAACCAGCTCTTCTTTTTTTCAAATTGGCCTTTCACATAGGAAAGGCTTTATTTTTAATTTAATTTTATTTTTTATGTACATTTGGTGTTTGGCTTACATGTATGTCTGTGTGAAGGTGTCAGATCCTCTGGAACTGGAATTACAGTTGCTTGCTGCCATGTGGGTGCTGGGAATTGAACCTGGGTCCTCTGGAAGAGCAGCCAAAGCTCTTAACCATTGAGCCATCTCTCTAGTCCTGGAAACCAAATTTTCAAATACATGAGCCTTTGGGAGAAAATTCTCATTCAAACCACTACAATCGCAATGTGGCTTATTGCCTTGAGACAAGTATCAGCCTTAATCAGAACTTTGCCGTTTTCAACTAGGCTGACAGGACCCACCTGTCCGGACAGTGCAGGCACATGCAGCCAAGCCTGGTGTTTTCCATGGGTGCTGGGTATATGAACACAGGCTATCCACAGAGCAAGTATCCTTGCTGACTGAGCCAGCTCTCCAGGCCTGCAGTCAGTTTTCTTTATCACTGATAAAGTACCTGACATAGACAGTTCAGGAAAGGTTTATTTCAGCTCAAGGATTCACAGGTTCCGTCCATCATGGCAGGGAGCTCAGAGCAAGAGTTCAGTTCCCATCATGGCCAGCCAGCAGGGGGAATGATAGAGCACAGGTGACAGTCCTCCTCTTTCCCCTTTTGCGCTGTCTGAGACTCCAGCCTTAGGCTGATGCTACCCAGAATGCAGGTGAGTCTTCTCCTTGTCAGTTAACCATTTCTGGAAACGTCCTCACAGACACACCCAGAGCTGTGCCTCAGAAACCCCTGTGAGCTGGGCTTTTTTTTTTTTAAGATTTATTTTTATTACGTGTGTGTGTGTGTGTGTGTGTGTGTGTGTGTGTGTTTAAGAATGTCCGCCACATGTTTGTGATTCATGCAGAGGCCAGAAGACTACCGGAACTGGAGTTCCAGATGATTGTGAGCTGCCCAGCATGTGTACTGGGAACCAAGATGGGGTCCTCTGCCATAGCAACAAATGCCCTTAACACTGGACCACACACCCCTTCGATTTTTTGTTTTGTTTTGTTTTCTTTTCTTTTTGGCTTTTTGAGACAGGGTTTCTCTGTTTAGCCCTGGCTGTCCTGGAACTGCTCTGTAGACCAGGCTGGCCTCGAACTCACTGATTTCCACTGTTTCTGCCTCTCAAGTGCTGGCAGTAAAGGTGTGTACCACCTTTACACCAGGTAGCCTGGTCCCTTGAAGTTTCTTGCTCTAATCCATTAGATAATCAAAATTAACCACCGTAAGACCACTGTTTTAGTTAGGGTTTCTGTTGCTGTGAGAGACACCATGACCACAGCAACTCTTATAAAAAAAAAACATTTAACTGGGGCTGTCACACAGGTTCAGAGGTTTAGTCCATTATTGTGGTCAGAAGCATGGCAGTGTGCAGGCAGACATGGTGTTGAAGGAGCTGAGAACCCTACATCTTAATCCATGGGCAGCAGGAGACTGAGACACATTGGGCGTAGCTTGAGCATATATGAGACCCCACAACACACCCCCAACAGTGACACATTTCCTCCAACAAGGTCATACCTACTCCAATAAGGCCCCGCCATAGTGCCTTTCCCTAGGAGCCATGCATTCACACACAAGTCCATGGGGGCCACCCTTTTGTTAATTAGACACAAATATACCTTTTATTGTTTTTTTGTATCTAAGTGTTTGCCTGTCTGTATGTCTGTGGACCTCCTGCACGCTAGTGAAACCAGAAGAGGCCATTGGCTCTCCTGGAGCTGGAGTTACAGATGGTTGTGAGCCACTGTGGGTGCTGGAAACCAGACCCAGGCCCCCTGGAAGAGCAGCAAGTGCTCCTAACTGCTGAGCCATCTCTCCAGCCCTCCCTATACGGTTTATTATTTTAATTAGGTCTGTGTCTACCTGTGGGATATGCACATGAGTGCAAGTACCCTTGGAGAACAGGCACTGGGGCTCGACTTGCAGGTGCTTGTGAGCCAACCAGTGTGGGTTCTATGAACTGAACTAAGTCCTCTGGAAGAGTAACTGTGGCCTTAACCACTGAGCCATCATTCCACTCTTTCAGCTGTGTTAGTCTTACCTCATAGTTCAAGTGGAACTGTGCTCTGATCTTTTGTTTGTGCTCCTGGCAATGCTGCTGAGTATAATCTCTTGAAAGTTCACACTTGTTATAGCATGTAGAAGAATTTCATTATTTTGTGTTATGAAGATCCAATGTATGAATACTGGTGGACTGAGATGAGCATTAGAAACTCCTGGCTGCTGCTGCTGCAGGAGTCAGTGGAGGCTGCCAGAAGCCTGTCCAGCAAACACAACCATACCAGGAAGGACAACCATTCCTGCCTCCTGGCTGTTGCAGTGAGCAGCACAGTTATCTGTCCCTGCTTTCCGGAGCAGAATGGCTGGATTGCACTAACTCTGTGATGAGAGACATGGCATCTCAGCACAGCTCTGCCATCCTACATTCCCGCCAGCAGTGGCCGAGTCCAGCCCCTCCACACTCTGGTCACACTTGTCACTTCTTTGTTAAAAAGAAATTGTATTCATTCATGTAGGTGAAAAGTGGCATCTTATTGTGATGTTTTTGCTCGTTCATGTGTGTGGGTGTTTTGCCTACATTTGTGTCTGTGCACGCATGTGCAGTGCCTAAAAAGACCAGAAGACAGCATTTGATCCTTTGAAACTGGAGTTACAGAGCACTGTGAGCTACAAGGTGGGTGCTGGGAATTGAACCCAGGTCCTTTTCAAGAGCAGCCAGCACTC